GACTTACCACACTGACTGCAAAAGAAATGTCTGGACGAGTGACTGTGAGATAATTCAACTTTCCAACCAATCTCCTATACCTTCCCGAGTCTGATAGAGGCTCCCCCTGATTGGATAGTAGTTTGACACTTGGATCCATAGGAGTATCAACTGGTTTAGCGTTCAACAAACCTGTTTCTTCCAAAATATCCATAGCATATTTCCGCTGAGAAATCACCAAACCATCTTTAGATTGGGCTACCTCAATACCCAAGAAATACCGGAGTTTACCAAGATCCTTTGTCTGAAATTGATTTGAAAGATGTTGTTTTAACTGGAGTATTCCCGACTCATCACTACCAGTTATGACAATATCATCTACATACACAATAAGATAAATACACCCTTGTACTGAGTGACGATAAAAGACAGAATGGTCAGCTTCACTACGGACCATACTAAATTGTTGTACTACAGTGCTGAATCTGCCAAACCAAGCTCTCGGAGATTGCTTAAGACCGTAAAGAGACCTGTGTAGCCTACAAACCATATTCGATGACTCCCCCTGAGCAACAAATCCGGGTGGTTGCTCCATATATACTTCCTCTTCAAGATCAGCATGTAAAAATACATTTTTGATGTCAAGTTGATGAAAAGGCCAGTGTCGAATGGCTGCAATGGCTAGAAGAAGTCTAAAAGATGCCATCTTGGCTACAGGCGAGAAGGTATCACTATAATCCAACCCAAAAATCTGAGTGTATCCCTTGGCTACCAAGCGAGCTTTAAAACGATCAATCTTACCATCTGGACCAACCTTCACTGTATAAAGCCAACGACAACCTACTAAAATTTTTTCAGTGGGTAGAGGAACCAGTTCCCAGGTACCACTGCTTTGAAGAGCACACATTTCATCAATCATTGCTTGCCTCCACTCAAGGTGAGATAATGCTTCACCTGGAGATTTAGGAATAGAAACAGAAGACAAAGAGGACAAACAAGTATACTGCAAAGGGGAAAGACGATGATAACATAAATCAATATAATGTGGAGAAGGATTTCGTGTTTGACGTATACCTTTGCGAAGGGCAATCGGAAGATCAAACTCAGGTTGCAGGATCGAATCCGGTGATGGTGATGGCGATAGCGTCGGAGAAGAGTCTGCAATGACCTCAGGGACAGGTACGACCTCAGGGACATGTACAACCTCAGGGACAGGTATGACAGACGTTGGTTTACGACGCTGATATGTTTGAAGTGGACGAGAAGTGGGGGGGGTCAACCGTAGGGGTTTCTTGTGGGACAGGTTCCCTAGAATGATGGGGAATAATGGGAAATGGGACGTCCGGAAGAGGTGTGGGAGTACTTTCCTGAAGAGGTTCCGGAGTGACTTGGGTGGACGCAAAATATGGCACAGACTCGAAGAAGGTAACATCGGCCGATATCAGGTATCGTTGCAGAGTGTGTGAGTAGCAACGATAACCCTTTTTGGATCGATGATAACCAAGAAAGACACACTTTAGTGATCGAGCTGATAGTTTATCAAGACCATGTAGACCCGAAGACTCGGGGAGGAATTGGGTGAAGGGGGGAATGGGGAAAAAGGATTGAATGAGGGATTTTATTGTTAAGGACAGATGATGGCATGCGATTTATAAGGTAACATGCCGTTAGCACAACGTCTCCCCAAAACCGAAGTGGAAGGTTACCATGGAGAAGTAGGGTCTGAGTGGTTTCTACAAGATGCCGATTTTTGCGTTCGACTACCCCGTTTTGTTGAGGTGTATGAGGACAAGATGTTTGGTGGAGAATACCATTACTGGACATAAAAGTTTGAAATTGTTGGGATAAATATTCACGAACATTATCACTTCTTAAGGTACGAATAGACACACCTGTGAAAAATCATCAATAAAGGTGACAAAATACCTAGACTCAAGAGTAGAGATAATACGTGAGGGACCCCAAACATCAAAGTGAACTAAAACAAAAGGGGACGAAGCTCGTTTATTAACTCGATTGGGAAATTGACTACGAGTGTGTTTCTCTAACTGACACGACTCACAATGTAAATTAGATACTTTCGATAAACTTGACACCAACTTCTGTAATTTGGGAAGACTAGGATGACCTAACTGAGCATGGATTGTGAGTGGAGAATCTATGGCTGAGCATGTCTGAGATGACACTGAGAGGTAATAAAGGCCTTGAGACTTACATCCTACGCCAATTGTCCGTCTCGAACTCCGATCCTGCAGGGTGACATTACTATTAGTGAAGGTGACAATACAATCAAGAGAACGAGTTAAACAACTGACTGAAAGTAAATTAAATGGACAATTAGGTACATAGAGAACAGAAGTAACATAGAGAGAAGGTAGAATTTGAATAGTACCAATTCCTTCGGATTGGGTTTGAGAACCATTGACAGAAGTTATTGTTGGTAAGAAACCAGAGGTAGAGAGGGAAGAGAAAAGATTTTTATTATCAGTAACACGATCAGACGCACCAGAATCAAGGTCCAAGAGAATATGATTGAGAGAAGCAAACAAATGAATTACCAGTGTGTGCAACCGAAGCAGTAGAATCTGAGTTCTGATAATTCTGATACCACTTGAGGAAATCATCGTAGTTTGGCGTAAAATTTTGAGGAGTAGCCATGAGTATCAGATTTGGAAAAGTTGCACGGTGGCGAGTGCGGTGGTGTTAAAATCGTCGGAATCGGCCGAATCGAAGGAGACGTTTTTGCCGATAGGGTTAGTTTGTCGGAAGGTCGCCGAAATTAATAGCGGCGGATGACAACAGCAGTCCGGTGGTTACCGGAGAATTTTGGAAAGTGGGAGGCAAACCGGAGTGATAAGACGGTTTGCAAAAAAAAAAATTTGTCACCGGAAGACAGTGGGTCAACCGAGTAAAACACGATGAAGAATTGTCTCATAGTAGGCTCTAGATACCATATTAAATTAGGAGAGACTAAGAGACATTTAGGTTAAACCGTGTGTTTTGAAAAGCACTACGGAGACTTTATTATATGTAGAGATTACAACTAATGCTATGATATAGTCGATGTGGGACTATTCTACATACAAATATTCTTAACGGCCACCGCCACGGCCAAAACGACCACCACCACGGCCAAAACGACCTCCTCTGGAGTTGTAATTGTAGTTTTCAGCATGAGCAATCACGTGACTAATACCAGTGGGAAACGACTCTGTAGCAGGCGACGAAGGTTCCACCGGAGAAGATGAGTCAGACGACGGAGCCTGCATCAAATTGATCGATACCAGTTTTGTGAGGATCGCTTTGCGATGCTTTTCCAATCTCGATTCGTGTGCAAGGAGACAAGACTCGAGTTCATCCAAAGAGCTAAGATCTTCCTTGCTATTAACAGCAGCGTCAATAGAATCGTACTCCTCAGGGAGTGCATCAAAAACCATCTCAATTAGGTTACGAAGAGGAACAAGATCCCCAATTGAGATCAAGGATTCATTGATTTCACGAACACGCACCATGAACGACTCAATTGTGAGAGTACCTTTGGAGAGACGACGCAATTCCGAGCGAAGCTGACGTGCTTTTGTCGTGAGTAGCGTGGCGAAGTAACGATGTACTTCCGTCCAAACCTGCCACGCGTGTGTGCAATCAAGGAGCTTTCGAAGTAGCGAATCAGAGATTGTGGAGAGAAGCCACGTGCAAATGAGAGAATCTTGTTGTTCCCAATCAAGATATGCATCGTTCACCTCGCTAAGATTAGGATCGGAAGTCGAAGGAGAACGCTGAGGAATCACCGGAACCGTGACGAAGCGTTGAAGCTTGTGGCCACGAACAACACCGTCAATTTGTTGTTTCCATTGCTTGAAGTTCATATCATCAAGCTTGACGGAGATAAGATGTGAGAGCTTAACGCGAGAATAAGGAAACCCGCCGTCGTTGCGAAATGGAGACGCCATAGATCAAGGTCACTGGATCGGAAAAAGGAATGCTCTAGATACCATGATAGAGTACCGTAAGAGAGAAAAGGATAAAGCAAAATATGCATTTTATATATTGATCAAATTAACTGAAAGAATACAGAGGCTCTTATATAGAGCAGCTAGAATCTAATCAATTGTTACACATCAGCATAACAAACTAACAGAATACAGCAGGCATAACTAACATACACTAAGCCCTATTTACTCTATTACTTACAAACCGGTTTTGTAGGGATGACTTAGGTTCAACTCAAATTCTAAGACATGGGATACCCCAAAACTTTGGTCCATGATTATACCAATAATAAAATCATAATTCCAATTAAATAAAGAAGCAAATAATGGAATATAAAAAATTATGAAAACCAATTTCAAGAGATTTTCTATGCATATGATGCTCAATATTCAACGACGCTGTTGTGATTTTATGTGACATCTGCTAGATATTCTACTCCCCCCTCAAACTGAAACTTACTATGTTTTAAGCCTGTTTCGAACAAATCCTTCAAATCTGAAAGATTCAAACAGTAGCTTGAAAAAAATGTGAATGTTACTACCAACAATATGGAAATTGTCAAACTTTGATAGTATACACATTTATCAAATAAGAATTTCTTTTAGGCAGCAACTCACAAGACTAACTTTTCTAATATCGCTTTTTGATCTAGAAAACTCAACAGCATTTCCAATCTTAAGCACAATCTGTTCTCGACTAGGCCATGCTTCCTCACTGCTCCTTGATCACATTCTCCCTATATTCTCTGCATATGGAAGTGTATATGTGCTTTATGATTTGTAATCTTGCTTCCCTTTGGTGGAGCCACTAAGTAACAGCAACTGATGACAGATGAAATTACTATAACTTTTTTTGCCATTGCAATCCCTTATATAGTAATTTCCCTTGCTATACTATGGCCATATTTTTTATTTTAAGTGTCAATGATTTTCTAGAGGAAACTTCTTGCTACAAGAGTGTCCAAAACTTTTGACATTCTCAGATTGCTAGTTACTTAGCTAAAAACATTTATAAACTTTTGATTGGTGCAGGAACGAGAAGTGAAAGCTAAGCATCAACAACTAATCAGTGGGGTATTCTTTTCTTTTAAAAGAAACCACATTCAGTATATTGTTTTCTTTCTCATTAATATAAATCTGATGCTATTCTTCCTAATCAGGTTTCAGTCCTTTCATATTGGGCCTCTACATTTATTTGGGACTTCGTGAGCTTCTTGTTTCCGGCCTCTTTTGCCATAGTTCTCTTTTACATCTTTGGTATGATTACAATTCATTATTACTGATTGTTGTAAATAGGCCTTACATACCGTAACCATGTGTAATAATTGTATTCGGCTCATTAACAAGACTCGTTAGGTTTATCATAATCTATATAAGCAATTAGTATCTTTAATCTTTACTGAAGTGAAATAACAATATAAATATTTTACCACGTGGTATTGGAGATTTTGATTGGGCATGGTGCAAGGTGTTGTGTTTTTAGCGGCACTTTACAAATAATGATAGATCGGAGGCCTCCGGTTCCTATGGTGGGGAGCATGTTTGAATTGGAGGCATATGAAACGTCTCTGGAAGAGGTGGCGATAGTCTGGTGACTGTGTAAAGGACATATTAGGGTTAGCCTTGACGATGGGTGAACCCAAAAATAAAATTAGGATTTCAAACCTAGTCTTGATTCCAAGTTGAATAATACAAAATGATCAACTTATGTTTTTCAATGAGGTTTTCGATATTATATACACGAGCGAATCTCTCTAGAAAGGAAATACATATAATAATGAAACACAATCAATTGTAATAAATAGAGAATAATCAACACAATCAAATACACATTAGATGGTACCCATGAACAATACATGGCAAGATTATTGCCAAAAGGGTACACTCGGACATATAACATTGATTATAAGGAGACATTTTCCTTAATGGCAAACAGTAACAATGTTTAATTTTTTTTTCTCTTAATGCCTATTCTAGGTAGGAACTACACCTGTTGATGTTGAAAATTTTCACCTGCATCTTAGAGGAGGAGGTATATAGGGAGATTCCCATATGAAGTGTGTAGATTTAGAAATGCATTATATGTGCTAAGGTAGGCTCCCCAAGTGTGGTTTAGGAGATTAACAAAATGTGGTTTAGGAGATTAATAAAAAGCGCGGTGCTTGTGGCTGCAAGCAAAGCAAGAAAGATCACACTTTCCCCCCAAATATACACAAGGAGGAAATCTAAGTGTACTTCTTGTTTATGTTGAGATATCGTTATTATAGGAGATGATCTAATTGAGAGACAATTACTCAATGAAGGACTTTGGGTAACTCACATTTTTCGGGAATTGAGACGACCTACTTAAAACATGTCATTTTCACCTCTCAGAGTAAGTATGTACTTGTTCTTTTATAGAAAACATGCAAACTTGGATGCAAACCTACAACTATTCCTGTTGAGAAAAAGCACGATATGAGCTTCAAAGAGGAAAGCACTAAAGTTGACATGGTTCAATATTAGAGAGTAGTAAAAAAGTTGATTTATGTGGAACAAACTAGGCTGAATTTGGTATATGGAGTCGTTGTGGTGAGTTTGCTCATGCAATATCCGAGGGTGAGACACTTGCAAGATGTAAATCTTGTTCTGCAATAACTTAGTCACTTTAAGAAGTGGACTCTAATTCAAAAGTGGCGGAAGCTTTGTAGTCAAGTGTACTTGATACAGATTATGCAAGTTATGTGACTTGTGTTGGAACCTTGTTGCCTGGAGGAGTAAGAAGTAAAGTACATGGGTTTGATCAAGTGTTGAGGGTGAATTTAGAGCTATGATACAAGGAATCTATGAAGTGTTGTGTATATTGGTTGTGCTAAAGGACAAGATACAAAATGAAGGTCTTAAGAAGTTGTTTTGTGACGATAAGTCGACTATTAGCATTGCTCTTTCTTAGATTTTTATATTGGGCCTAATTCATCCATACAAATCGACTTGTCTGGTGAGGACTGCCCAAACTTTTATAAACACTACACAGATTCTATTGTCAATAGAATTGAATGGCAAAATATTGTTTATTAGTGCAGATTTCTTGGCATTAAACCGGCAGATTTGCACACATTTGATTGCCATTTAAACCTGCAGAGGCTACATTATTGTGCACTATTCTGTAATTGTGTATTGATTAAATAGCCTAACTGTATATAGAGGTTACTAATTGTATTAACACTATTTAAAGGAAAATAGTAAAGCGGAAGAGGACATGGTTTTCCATCCTCAATTCTGAGATAAACACATATCTCTAGGCCCCTTAACGAGGCCCCTTAGGTTTAGCCTAGTTTTTATGAGCACATGAGCGCCCCTACTCTTTACAGAAGTGAAATAATACTTAAAAATATTTTCAACTCTGATGATTGGTTTTCTGCATGCATATTAGTTTATTAGGAAAATCAACATTGACCATGAATCCTAGTCTTCTAGCATATATTGTGTTCTGATACAGGTTTATGTACAAAGATTTCTTTTTTGTATATACAGAGATTTGTAAGTTTTGCTCACTTGATCTGTTTTTATTGCTCTGTTTCTTTAATAGGTCTTATCCACCTGTCCTTGTATGTATTTCTCTCTTTAGTAAATTTCTTCTTTTATCAAAAGAAGAAGATTCTCTTATAGTTTATTTCATTGTTTTAGGTATTAATTAGACAATGATATATGGAATGTAGTTAGTCCTGATTTACTATTTACTTCAGGCCTTCATTGCCTCTTATATGTAGGCTGATCCAATGACTCGTAAGTTTGAATTTTGTTTGTCTTCTACCTAGAGAGATTTTGTGTCTGCCTGGTGGTTGTAATTTACCACTGTAGAGAATAATATTGGTTTTACTATATTATCAATTATGAATAAGAGCACTCCTTTTATAGGAGAAAATACAATTAGTCAACTCCTTAATTTCTGGAGAGAGATAAAAAAAGTAGAATAACAAGAAAATGAAATAATATATTATATTTCAACAACCTCTTCCCTTTTCATGTTGTTTTCCACCAATTTCTCTCAGGTGGTTGATAGGATATACGACTGTAGGTAGAAATGGTAAATATGATTCTTGACGTACCGCAATACAACCAAGCCTTATCTTCTAATTGGAATTTGTTTTGCAATATCATATTTTCAATGATAACACTTGCCTATTGAATACTGTTATAGGTCTGGATCAGTTTGTTGGGGGAGTTTCTTTGTTACCAACTATCATCATGCTTTTGGAATATGGACTTGCTAGTGCTTCGTCAACTTATTGCCTTACATTTTTCTTTTTTGACCACACTGTGGCCCAGGTATCAAGAGGCATCAGTTTTTCATTTGTTTGTACTTTGTTATCAATCTTATAAAATGCCTTGATGTTCACTTCTCTGACAGAATGTGGTTCTCCTGGTTCACTTTTTTTCTGGATTGATACTAATGGTTATCTCATTCGTTATGGGACTCATCCCATCCACAATAAGCGCCAATTCTTTTCTTAAGGTACACCAAAAATTTATTTTTCAGGTGTTGTAGACATGGATTTTATGCCCTTACTCAAGCAAATGTTTTCCCTAAACACTATAAACAGGAGAACATTTTAGGAACTAATTCTTAAAAAATCTGATCACATCCATCTTTTTAGCTCCCATTGTGTTCCCTGAACTGTTTTCTACTTCTACCACTTTCTACTTTATGTCTTTGTCTTGGAATTATTCTTGTGAAAAATAGGGAGAAGAAATTTTATGAATGTGCTTGAGTGAGTAAAACACTCAGCAACCATGATATTTATATACACACCATAGTTAATTACATGCTCTGTTTACACTGAGTAATAAATACAAGTCCAACTCCCGAAATACATGAATCTATGCATACATGAACCTAAGGCCTGAAGTACTCCTACTTCAATGGGAAACATACATGAATATTACTATCTCCAACAATTCCATCATGAAAAGATACTGAAAACTGACTAGTTACTTTTTATCCAGTGTGATAAGAGAGGGGTTTGAATTTTTTGTTACTAAATCAGTGGTCTCATTTGTAGGCTGTCACTGTGATAAATAAGAACAGAACTTAGAGAAATGCTAAATATTATATTTTCATTTAGATTGTACATCTATTTAAGGTAAAAAAAATTCTATTTGCATTGATAAGCAACTAGTGTTAATCTGCTTTAATTGCTCTTTGTTTGCTTCTGCGGTTCACTTGAGTTTTTTTCTTTTAATATTTTATGTTCTTCATCAGAACTTTTTCAGAATATCTCCTGGATTTTGTTTTGCTGACGGACTTGCTTCATTAGCTCTTCTCCGGCAAGGAATGAAAGATAAAACAAGTGATGGAGTGTATGACTGGAATGTTACGGGTGCCTCCATTTGTTATCTTGCTGTTGAGGTCCAAGTCTTTTCATCTAATTTTGCTGCCATTGAGTTTCTTATTATTGATATTGTTTTGAAATTTAAAATCGCAAAGACATGAAGATGTTATTTTATAAAGTAATTCATCAGTGATATTATATAACTTACATATTTACACAAAGATTTGGACAATATATTTTGCTCTATCTAATCTCATTTTTTTTTATCACAGAGCGTTGTTTATTTTTTATTGACACTCGGGCTTGAAATTTTTCCTTCTCTCAAATTGACTCCGTTCATGATCAAGAAGTGGTGGGGGGATATTAATATGTTCCCACATAATTCTACTTATCTGGAACCTTTATTAGAACCTCCTGAAACTGTTATTACGGACCTCAACGAAGACGTGGATGTGAAAACAGAAAGAAATAGAGTACTCTCAGGCTCCATTGACAATGCCATTATCTACTTGCGCAATCTTCGCAAGGTATTTCCTAGGATTATTTTCTTCAACTTGTTTTTTCCTTACAAATAGTATTGTGATTACCATGGTGATTTCTGTTCTAAATTTAAGGTGTATTCTGAAGAGAAGAAACATGGGAAAAAGGTTGCAGTAGATTCATTAACCTTCTCAGTTCAGGAAGGAGAATGTTTTGGCTTTTTAGGAACAAATGGAGCTGGAAAGACCACAACACTTTCTATGTTATGCGGTATATCATATATTTGGACATGATAATACTGCAAGTCATACTAATATGATATGCCAACTTTTTGGCTTGCAAAATTTTCTAAAATCCTACTAAAACCTTTCTTGTTAAAGAATAATTTATTTATTTCATAAAGGAAAATGCTAGTTCATTCTTCCTTTTCTTCTCTTCTAAATATATGTTGTGTTTATTTGCTGCGTAAAAACAATCTTCTAATTTAGACAGTAAATGTGGTGAGTTATTAGGCAAAACTGGTGACAGATCTCAAAAATTATACCTGTAAAAGGTTTTTTGTAGTTATGATTGTTCAAAACTGGATACCTTTAAAGTTGGCATTTCTCTCTGATTCTCATGTGATGACATTGACTGCTAAAAGTTGTGTTTTTTGTTTCCATACAGGGGAAGAATCTCCTTCTGACGGGACTGCTTTTATTTTTGGCAAAGATATATGTTCCCATCCCAAGGCTGCTCGTAAACATGTATGCATATTTTTCTACTTCCTCACAAACAAAAACAAACAATCATATATTGAAGATTTATCTAAATCCATCTGACTCTTACTTTTTCATCTTGATTCGTATTTCCAGATTGGGTATTGTCCACAATTTGATGCTCTGTTGGAATTCTTAACTGTAAAAGAGCATCTTGAGCTCTATGCTAGAATAAAAAGTGTTCCAGACTACACAATAGACAATGTATGTGTAAACAGTTCCTGGTTACTTTAGTGTTTGTCTTCATTAGGATGATTTATGCCAAGAAATTACAACCCATACAGACATTTGATCTCCTTATATAGAGTTGAAACTTATAGGAATAGAAAATAATTGAAGTATGCTAATTGAAAAAAGTGTCGGGCACATGTTCTCTTCTGAATTTCTGAAAAATTATTTTTATAAATATTTCAACAAACATCACATGATGCTGGCAGGAAGTTTATTCTTGTATCCGACTTCCCCAAAAGACCAATAGTTCTGTGGTCATAATCAAATGTAGATGAAGCCAGGGAAGAAAAACTCCACTACATCAAGAGAAAAATACTTATATGCAAATGATATAATCCTTAACCAATATGTTCCCCTATACTCCATGTAGATTTGAACACCCGAAAATTGATTTGGTCAATCACATCCAAATGTCTAGTTAATGAAGTTATATTGATGGTTAATGAGTATTGACACCTATTGTACCCATTAGCGATCTACTGAACGTAATTAACCACGTATTTGTATTGTGTTACCCCTTAGATTGTTGTCGCAAAAGTTGTCCAATTTTAGTTGGTCAAATAACACAACTGCTAAAATAAACTTACAATAATTAAAAAGATCCTAATCATACCATATTTTCAACAATTGACAACAATAATTTGGGCAGGTTGTTATGGAAAAGTTGGTAGAGTTTGGCTTATTGAAGCATGCTAATAAACCATCATTTTCACTTAGTGGAGGGAATAAAAGAAAACTATCTGTTGCAATTGCAATGATTGGAGATCCTCCTATTGTCATTCTTGATGAACCATCCACAGGTAGTTATTCTAAATTATCATATTTTTTTTGACATCTAGAAAATGCCTTTATCCAATTTAATTTGAGAGTTTAAAAAAACCACTTTAAAATCATAAACTTCCAGTTCAATTGATTCCTTGGCATGCTATGAAAACCCAGCTCACCAAGTGGTCTAGAATTCGATAACTTTTGCCTTCAATTCTATGATTAAAGTTTTGTTTCAAAGTAGTGTCTGCAAATTTATTTATTCATAATGTATCAATACTGGTGGTGAGCTTTGAATTGAAAGGGCATGCATCAAATTATGGGCCTTTCTTTGGTCTAATGAGTTGCGACCCTTATGAATGAAGAGTTATTTCTTATTTGCTTATGCTTGATGACTTGCGTAGTTATTATCTATGGATCTAATATTTTATGCTTCCCTTAGGAATGGATCCCATTGCCAAAAGGTTCATGTGGGATGTAATATCTAGAATCTCAACTAGACGAGGAAAGACTGCAGTTATTCTTACTACCCATAGCATGAATGAAGCTCAAGCCTTGTGTACCAGAATAGGGATTATGGTAAGTTTTTTTTTTTCTTTTCACTTTATATTCTTGAAGCCATGTCATGCACCCACAAACATATACTGATCAATAATATTGTGTTTTTTAAAGGTTGGTGGACAACTAAAATGTATTGGAAGCCCGCAGCATCTAAAGACAAGATTTGGCAATCATCTAGAACTAGAGGTATTTATGGTTATGACTACAAGAAGCACATTTTCTTTGTGCTTCCTTGTTTTTTCCTGACAAAAGCCCCTTCAAATATGTAACTCTTAGTTTCCCTGTTTCCAGGTAAAACCCACTGAAGTGAGTTCTGTGGACTTGCAAGCACTGTGCCAAGCTATTCAGGAAATGCTTTTTGATGTCCCTTCTCAACCTAGAAGCTTACTTAATGACCTTGAAATTTGCATTGGGGGTGCTGATTCCATCGCCTCAGGAAATACCTCCATTGCAGAGATTAGCTTGATACCAGATATGATAGGCTTAATTGGACGATGGCTTGGCAACGAAGAAAGAGTGAAGACTCTAATGTGCTGTACACCTGTCTATGACGGGGCCTCTCAGGAACAGTTATCTGAACAATTATTTCGAGATGGTATGTGTGAATCTTCTTTAAGCTTTGATTCTTATTCTTACTATTATTAAAAAAAAATATCAGAAAGTTAAATTTCTCATTTGAAAATGTGCTTGCATATATGTAAAAGGACATATACCTCATACTGAAAGTTTTTCTTGAATGAATTCCCCATTATCCATTGTGTTTAATATGCAAGTTCGCTTGTTGCAGGCTTATTCTTATACAAGTTGATACACACAGGCTATTTTTTTTTTTTTAAATTGTGTAATGAATCCATTGATATAATACTAGTCCTTAGAATTATGGTTGAGCCTTGTTGATATTTGTATATATTTGGAATATAATATTCTATAGTATATTTCTTAAATATATTGTAGTATATTCCTTATGTAATTAATACAAGTACTATACAATAGAACTTCCGTAGTGCTATTTAGACGCACGATTTCTCTAAATGTCTCTTTCTCTCGTATTTCAACAAGCCTAACTTAACCTTCCTAACTGATTTTGAAGGTGAGGATTATCCCTACTTATAAACATATGTTCGAGTTATATTTTATCTGATGTGAGACTCTAAACACCCCCCTCACGACCAACACTGTTGGGCTTTGGTGCATGGATAGAAATGATGAGTGGCCGATTGTGGGAACTTGATAGTTGGTGGTCCAGCGGAACTTAAATCAGAATCTGATACAATCTTAGAATTATGATTGGGCCTAACTAAATCTTACAAAATCGACTTTTAGGCTGAGGATTGTCCTCACATATAAACATATGTTAAGGCAATATATTATCCAGAGTCTGAATCACATGATACTTAAAACTTTCCTCAGCTTTTTGGACAGATGAAATATCCTTATTTGTAGTTCATACTGCACAAGGTTCTTTATGAAGTGTTCATGCTTAAATGATGTTTGAACTCAGTATTCAACCATTTCTCCCCCATAAATTAGAGAGAAAGATGTACACATTTCATATTTACGTGCTTGATATAAAACCAATTATTAGCCTTCATCTGATAGCTTAATGTTTTAAGTGAGTTGTTAGCATATGATGAAAAGTTATTTCTCTTTTTTATTTCAACTAAAATGTATAAATGCTGTTCTAGTATTAATTCCCCTTTTACTCTTCTGTTGGTAACGTAGGTGGTATTCCATTGCCAGTATTTTCTGAGTGGTGGTTGTCCAAACAAAAATTCTCAGAAATTGATTCATTTATTCTCTCTTCATTTCGTGGAGCAAGATGCCAAGGATACAATGGTTTAAGCATCAGATACCAGGTATTTTTGAGTTACCACATTAGTTTTCTGGTAAAGTTCCACAATATGGTTGAAAAATCGTGTCTAAATGTACACTATTGAATTGAATATAAAGTACACTAGTTCGACTTTCTAACTTATTTGTGAGGTTTTGTGAGAAACAAACAAACACAGATATTCAAATACCTTTGTTCTTCTCACCATTTTGTTTATATCAAAATTTTAAAGAGTTGCTTGGTTTTGCCAAACTCCTGCCATGGGCAGCACTTGTACACGTATGTGCATACAGTGTATGATGCTTCTGGCCTTTATATTACAGCGCAGATAATAATTCATTGATTCTTTGCTGCAGTTACCTTATGACGAGGACATTTCTCTGGCAGATGTTTTTGGACTTCTTGAAGCAAACAGGTAAAGTACAAATGCATGTTTTTTATTTCCATAAACTTGTGTTAAAAAAAGTGCTTAAATTCTATCACTTCTGCAGAGATAGGTTAGGAATTGCAGAGTACAGCCTCAGCCAATCAACTCTGGAGACAATATTTAATCATTTTGCAGCTAATTCTTGAAGCCAATCAACTCAGGAGAACAATATTTAATCATTTTGCAGTTAATCATGATACCCTTATTTTATCATTTTCTTTTAGAAAATGATGCATGATGGTTGCATTGTGTTAGGAATGTATCAAAACTATAACATTCTCCTAACTTCTACTAGTAAATTCAACATAGGTCCCGGGGCGAGATTCTAAGGCCTTGAATATTAGAGTAGAGTGTCAGTTGTTAGTGTCATCGAATTGGAAATGGATTACCAATTATAAAATTGTGGCATTAAGGGATTTATTATTCTATCTTACTCCTTCACCAAGTTATGGAATTGTTTAGGATAATCCATTTTAGGGATTATCTTCAATCTTTCTTGTGTTCCGCTTCAATGCTCAATGGGGGAAAGGAGGGGAGTTTGGCAGCACTTTAATTTTTCTTCTATGCTTGATAGTTTTTCGTTTATTATCAAATGACCCACTACACTCATATGGTAAGTGTAAGCGTCATTCTTCAATTTAAAAAGAGAAAATTTCTTATGGCATCCTATATAGGGGAAAAATATCCTATGCAAAATCAAATATGCTCTTCGGAAATGCATTTTCGGGGCGCATCCTACGCTTATCAGTTCAGGTAAAATTTTGTTACACCCTTATTTAATGTAAGAAACATATCGGAAATGTAACACCGATGGAAAATCGGATATACATATCTGGGAAATTTGTGCGGGAAAAATCAAAATAATTGCCACCTATAAATTGAATATACATTTCTGGTTTATTCTGAGAAACTAAAAGCTTAAAACTGCAAGGTCTATGGGGTATTGATCATGCTCATTTCAATAGTGTGACAAAAATACTTTCCAAAAAATTCTCACATTCTCAATACCATTTTTCACTCAAAATCAACATTCTTGTGGTGCATTATATCAAAAGGAGCTAAAGAAAATTGAATTTAAGGTCAAGCTTCCTCTTTTCAATCTACATTAATCTGTTCTTTTTGTGAAAAAATGTCACGTAAATACCGGTAATATATTTCTGGTTTGCAGATGAACTTAATCGGAAATGTACTTCCGATTCCTGAAACAACTATTTCCAACAACTTCATTTTCTTATTTGCCTAGGATATTTCTTAGTTTAATCTGTTTTTATATATTAGGTATGGTGCATCCTGATAATTGTCTCAAAGCTATTGTGTCTCAAGGTGTTTCGTCTAATGTGTCTCAAGGTGTCTTGCTTATTATTTCCCAAGGTGTTTCTCCTATTGTGTCTCAAGGTGTTTTGTCTATTATTGTTTCGTCTATTGTTATCAAGGTGGTTGATGTGCAAAAATATTTTATAAATAAACAAGAATATAAATCTCGAGATGTCATGATGCAGTTGATTTGTATGGAGGCCACCAAACAAGGCTTTGGTGTTGTGATAGGAAGGTTCGATAGTGGTTTGGATAGACGATCTGTATTTGTGACATTGACATGCGAAAGAAGTGGGATATATAGGCGGCCTATCAAGAATTTCAAAAGAGATGATACTGGTTTAAGAAAATGTCAGTGTTCATTTAGGCTACGGGGGTGTCGGTTGTGAAATAATAATTGGAGGTTCAATGTCATACGTGATTTACATAATCATGATTTAAGAGCAAAGTTAGTCGGTCATCCTAGTGTATGTCGCCTCTTGGTAGAAGAGAAGGAATGTCTGTCCGACATGACACTAAATTTGGTCGCTCAAAAATACATACTTGGCACGTTGAAGCGCAAAAGACTCGATAGTATTTTAAACATCAAGCAAGTTTATAATCAGCGCTACCAAGCAAAATTAACGCTTAAAGGGGATCGAACCGAAATGCAACAACTCTTTAAGCTTTTAGATGATAACAACTACGTTTGTAGGCACCAGAGATGTGAGGATGGAGTAACGGTAAGTGAAATATATTCAACTCATATCGATTCCAATAAATTATTCAACACGTTTCCTATCGTGCTTATAATTGATTCGACGTACAAGACCAACATGTACATGTTGCCAGTGTTGGAAATTGTCGGTATTACGTCGATTGAAATGACATATTCCATTAGTTTTGCATTTCTAGAATGCGAAAAGAGGACAATTTTGCACGGGCTTTAGAGGTTTGTTGATCAATGTTAAAGGATCAAGAAAACATGTCAAAAGTCATTATTATCGACCGTGATACAACACTGATGAATTCTGTTGCGAAGGTGTTTTCGAGCTCTTATGTATTACTTTGTAAGTATCACATTATTAAAAATGTGAGAAGCCGGATAAAACTAGCGGTACGGACGAGTCAGATTGAGATTGAAGAGTGTAAGCTAGTTAAGTCAGGCGTTGTTGTGGAGAAAATTATGACTACTTGGAATGTTATCATAAATGCATCTATCAATGATTTATATGCTGAAGCTGTTATATATTTTAGGAAGGTGTGCGATAAATATCCCAATTTGTTGAAATACGTTGAGACTACAATTTTGAATCAAGTGAAGGAGAAGATTGTTTGTGCATGGACAAAACAAGTCATGTATTTTGAAAATACAACAACAAATCGAGTTGAGTTGGCTCATGTATGTCTGAAGAATTGGTTGGAAAATAGAAAGGGTGATTTGTGTACGGGTTGGGAACCCGTGAACCAAATGATACTTAACCAACATAATAAAATGCAAACATCATTTGGTCGTAGTGTCACAGTGTTGGAACACAGGTTCAAAGTCAATCTTCTCTATTCTCAATTGGTTGACAACATACCACGATTAGCTCTTAATTTCAATTTTTATGAAGCCAAACGAGCCTCTGACTTAGGCTTCGATACCTCTAAGTGTGGTTGTACAATTGTGAAAACATATGGTCTCCTGTGTGCTTGTGTCATATCTAAGAAGGTGAAACTTGATAGCTCGATACGAATGGACAAAGTATGTAGTCATTGGAAGGGGTTGAGTTTTGAAGACGACATTACAATGGAAGATGAAAAGTCAAGTATTACAATCTTGATAGAATGGGAAGCGATACAAGAAAGATTTAGGAAAGGCGATGACAACACAAAACTCCACATCAAAGAGCAATTGAGGAAAATCGCATTTCTAAAGACAATCGAATTGAAACCACCGTCTTAACCGGTTAAAACAAAAGGAGAACTAAAAAAGGTCAAACCTACACCTAGTGAAAATTAAACCATGAAGAGTCCATCGTATTTTGAACACATTGACAAACTTTTTCCCGATTCACCGACACAGAAATCTCAGAAAAATGTCTTCAAAGGTGCTCGCATAAACAAACGTCCAACTCCACCAAACCACCACCTCCACCAAAAATACCGTTCATTGAGGAGATGCCAATTTTTATGCACAATCACATTGATCGGATCGTTAATGTTCATGGTGACAGTAATTGTGGTTTTCGGGCTATTTCTGCTTTATTCGGTAAAGGGGAAAAGAATCACACACTTGTTCGCCAAACTCTCATCCAAGAGTTGAGGAGCCATCTTGATTTGTACACACGGGTGTACGGGGATAAGAATAAATTTGAAGAAATCTATAACGCTCTTGTACCATCCATGAAAGCATTTGTGCCAGAGAAGAAATAGATGCGTTTCCCTGAGATGGACCATCTCATTGTAAGTGTTTATGAGAGGGTGTGTATTAATCTTACAAGATATGATTTTTCGGAAATTTTTTCCCATTGCACACTGCTCCTAGATCTAATTCCACTAATCGTATCATTTGTGTTGGGTGAATTTCAAATTCCTGATATTTTGTTCATGTATTTGAAACTGGGATGCCCTATACCATCTACATCATCAGGGTGGACGAATCATTATACAGACCAATTCGAGACTTGGCTAAACCAGTTCATTGAAAGGATGCAATAGTACACCAAGTTGAAGAACGTTGAAATAGCAAAAAACAAGGAAAAATCAAAGGGTGTACCACCTATGGATTTGTCTGAAGACAATTACTTCAGATCTTTTAAGTAATTAAATATAATTTTGATGTATATGTCTTTTTGTTAATGAATTATGACGTGGAATATTCCTATTTTAGTAATGTATATGTTTATTATTATATTTTCATGCAATCTGCTCTTTTTGTTATTTCTCTATTTCTGGTTTTTAATACCAGAGACATTACCGAAAATGTATTTTCGGTTTTCAAGTCAAGGTGTAAATCGGAAATACATTTCTGGTTTACATTCTGTCAGCAGATATGATGTGTATGGTCCATAACATCCTCAAACTACTATATAAGTGTCGTAACCCAAATTTTCCCTACCCCGACGATCTTGTCCTCCAAGATCAGAATAATAAAGAAGCGTTTAACCAAGGATGGTACAGTAATATCTGATGGTCCATTCTTAATATTTAAATCAACCAGGGGTGTATTTTTAATTCAGGAAAATGGGGTTTTTTTTAATCAAAAAGACTCATATGTCCTTAAACCCATTCACGAAGCATGTTGGCCTATGGCCCATGCGATTCGAAAATGGAAAATTATTCAAATAATTGTTATGTCTTTAATTCTTAAAACCAACTTAAGTTTATGTTGTTATTAGTTGAAATTAAATTAAAGTCATCTAAGATTTTTTTGTTATTAGTAAAGAAATGGGGTGTGGAATTTCAATAAGCCCATCTGAAATTGTTGTCGTTATCAAGCGAAAGGGGGGTACAATTTGGAATAGAGGCCCAATATGAAATTGTTACTGTTTGGGCCAATTAAGGCCAAATATGAATTGAAAACAAAGGCGCTGAAAAATTGCTGGTGGCCCATTTTATATTTTTAAATTATTGCTGGTTTAATTTACACTAATTAGTTTTGTAAATTATTATTAATGTTAACAAATCATATTTTTAATAATAAAGGGTCTTTGTTTAGAAATAAGAAAGCTGAGTCCAACTGTACTAAAAAAAACGCGTTGAGGCTAAATAAAAAACCCCCAGTACAAACCCAAAAAATCATCAAGCGCGTGCTGGGCAGTAAAAAGGATATACAATTTGAGGCCCAAAAACAATCACTGTAACAATC